TTCTGCAACTCTTATAAATAGGGACGCTAACGTGCTACGCCATCGTGCACTATGACACTACTAAATCTATATGTATAAAATTTAAAAGAATTGATGAGCTAAATTATGGTGGGAGGAAGAAGGGAGGAACTCATACATACATACATATATATATATATACATATATATATATATACATATATATATATATATATATATATACACACACACACACACACATGTAGAAGATGAATATAAGTTGAAAAACTTGTGAGATTCCAATACCTTTTGAATTCCATTAATTTCAATTAAAGTAAATTCATAAATTGTTAGGAATAAATATACGTAACTTTTCATATTCATAACTTTTATGTTTTTATTAGTTAAAGTCATTAAAAACAAGAGATCACATTCTTGGTAAATTAAAAATCAATAAGTGGGTAGAATAGTCTAAAAATGTTTTTTCAAAATGCTCCCTTTTTAATATAGTATAGATATAGATATAGATTCTCCAAAAAAAAAATAAAATTAATTTTATTTTTTAATAAACAACCACGAGAGGGGTAGAATTTCATGAAAAAAAAGTTTATTTAAGTCTCAACCAATTGGAAAAAAAAATGTCTAGTTTAAAACTAAAAATTGTTAAAGAAAAATAATAAACATGGATTTCAGAATTAGAACAATATTACCAAATCATACAACCTTATTTCTGGGTTATTTTCGAATGTATTATTCATTTATCTATTTTTGTTCATTTTGTTAATCTGTTTTTAATATAATTTCAAAATTAAAATTTAATTCTTAAAAGCCACTTATTTATAATTCGAGTTGATATTTAAATTGGTATCGAGAAAAATTTCCTTATCGTTTACGAAGTGTTCGTAGGAGGGGTCACACTAGTTGTGATTGATTTTGCCCCATAACATATATTATTACCTTGTAAGTCTGTAAACAAAAACTTGTAAAAACTCATTTACAATTAAAAATTAAAATAAATATTATAGTATATATATTATACGTTACATGAAAATTTTTTTAGTACGACATGTGAGGGTGAGGGGTCGAAACTTATAACCTCTTAATTTGAAGTATATGTTAATTATCGTTGAGTTATGCTCGTTTTGGTAAAATTACGTAGGTTTTAGAATCGGGTTAGTGGATTATAATAGGTAATGTATGAATTTCAACTCATTTAATTTTTGAAAGAATATAAATAACGTTATTTTGAAAAGAAAAAAAAAAGAGAGAAATCTTGAGTAATGGCAAATGGTGTAATTAAGTATTAAAACCAGAAATATAACAAAACGAAAACTCTTGGAACCCCTTCGTCTCATTCACTCGCCTGACACAGAGCCGAGTAATGGCGCTAGCAGTCTCCAACATCTTCCACTGCCCCAAAATTCGGGTTTCTCAGAGGCAGTTTCATTCCAAATCCTCCGTTTTTCATTTACAGTCGTCGTCAATCAGGTAATGGATGTGGTTATACAGATTTGCGGCTTCAATTTCTATAGACTTTCATGATTTTACTCTCCAGCCGTGTTTGGTTGCTTAGAAAATCTGCGGGACGGGATGTTTTGTTATTGGAATTTAACTGCTACCCTATTTCATTTCGTGGGCTTATCTTATCTCTATATGAAAATGTTTTTGAATTTCTTAATCTGAAATTTTTTCTCATAAGCCAGAGTCTGATGAATCCCGAAATTCTATTCATCTGCTTAGTAACTGAAGAACCCCGAAAAATACATAAGTTCAATGATAAGCAATAGCGTGTTCTTGATAGTTCATCTATATGCTTAGAGCTTAGATAATGTTAGTATTTCGCGTCTTCAAGTTTTACTCTCAAGTCGGATATGTAGATGGATTTAGTGCTTACACAGTATGAGGTTTCATGTATACATAATTGCATTTGATTCTTCAATATTGCAACAATTAATCATAACACAGTGAGTTTAATATATCAGATTTAGAGAAATTACGCGAGAGAGAAGAACGGTTATTCGTGCAGCAGCTTCTGCAGCAGGAAGTTCTAGTCCAAACAGTGACTTCAACCCGTATGAGGTAGTTGAACTTGTTATCTAGTTTTCAGCCCTCAAAGGATTACTTGAAAGTTGCAGAACTAAGGCTTT